AGAGAGAGAGAGAGAGAGAGAGAGAGAGAGAGAGAGAGAGAGAGAGAGAGAGAGAAGACTGGCATATCTTCCTCCAAATGTTGAAAAGATGCCATCGGCCTTTTTTTGGGGGTGGTAATTTGCCAAATACCCCATAAGTTGAGATAGATTTCAATATGTCCCTGAAAGATCTGGGTACAGTGGAATGGCCTTTTGGGCTGACATCTTTGTGTTATGCCCCTGTCAGCCGCGTGTGCAAATTCGCAATGTCAGCCTCCCTGTTTGGGCCTTGGCCTTTTGCAATTGCACCTACGAAAAGTTGGCAACTACCGGGGCATTTTGCAAAGTTGAATGGTGTCTGATAGGGGTACATTTCAAAGATGGGGTCCAACCGATGTCCGGGGTGTTTTGCAAAAATGTTTTTGTCATCGTCCTTCGCCGCAGCAAGGCTGCGGCAGGTCCACTTGTTTTGTATAATATTGTATGCATATTTTAACTGCAGTGGAGTAGCTGCCGTCCGTCAGCCAGTAGTAGTTCATACGTCTTCTCTGTTCTTTCAGTAAACAGTGCCTTGTGGTCATGCTTCATTCTATTGGCCTGAGTGCAGTCCAGCTCCTTTTCCATTGGCAATTACCGTCTTCACCCGAATATAACGCCCTGTCATTATAGCAGTATTTGGCTAGGCTGTTTTCCCGGGCGCCCGGGCACCCAACTTGTGCCCGGATACACGCCAGGGTGCCTGGCCGGGCATGACCCCCGGGCAGGGTCCAGGGCAGCACCAGCGCAAAAGAAATAAAGAGGAAAATACGTTCATGTCACCTCTGAGTATCGAATGGGCAAAACAAAACTCGCGTCGGCAAAGAAAACCGCGTCAAGTTAGAAAAGGCGACGGAAGTACCAATGGCCGTGGTGTCAGACCAGGTGTCATATTTACTGGGGTTGGCCGTGGTGTCAGAGGGGAAAGCAAAGAAAAAGGAAAATGCTCAACAGATACTTTTGGACCAAATGCCACATGGTTTCTTTGCCGGCGCGAGTTTTTTTTGCCTTTAGGGTTTCAAAACATGCCACGTCCACCGTTATTTCAAAAAGAAATAAAATTAAATAAAAATGCAAAAGAAAAAAAAAGAGTTGTGTAGACTTGCAATACAAACAATTTTTTGGCTGAGGGTCACATCAGAACTCCTCAGGGCAGCTCCTTACAGTTGGACATAGTACACAACATGGTATAGGGATACTGGGCCCGATTTCCAGCAGATACAAATCACATTAGTGTGATACACATTACATCATGATTAGGGTTTCGCCTGATAGGATTGATGTCTCAGTCTGTTGGCGAGGTTCTATAGATCAGATGGACAGGGACGCTGGACCCGTTTTCTTGCACATACATTCACACCATGGCATATGGACGCTGGACCTGATTTCCAGCAGATATATTTTCATATTTGTATAGGGACACTGGACCTGATTTCCAGCAGGTGTAGCTCCCCACCAATAGATGGAGCCTTCGATGCTGGGGCCTACTTACCGGGGATGCTCCTATCACCTCGTTAAGTAGGTTTCCCATTTACGAAGTTTTCAAAAAAAAAAAAAAAAAGAACTCCTCACGGAATGAGCCTGGTGTCGGAAGTTCCCCTACGGCAAGGTTCGTCCGCTTCCGCTTCCATCAGGGCTGGGAGGTTGCCCCAGCCTTGATGTTTGTCACTGCTGTCCAAGTTGCCCTCGATACTGGTAGGGTGATGTTCCTGAGTGCTGGTCACACTGAGGTAGGATAGTAGGGACAGGGGGTGCGCTGGGAGTATTAACGCGGGGATGGGTAGGGTAGGTGGCCTATCCTGTCAGG